CATTGCAGCAGACCTTTACCATCGGTCTCTCATATCGGTTATTCGCGAAAAGCTCGCAAATGCTGAGGATGTCGAACATTTCCATTACGAACCTCATCAGTTGCGATGGAAGCCCCCCATCTACCGCAAGAAGTCAACATCCAAGGCGAACTGTACACTTCACCAGCTTTCATGGAAGCTCACAGCACACTTCAGGAATCTCCTGGAGAGCCAGGATGTGATTTACCTCGCGTGGTTACCGCGCTTATGATCTGGTCCGATGCCACACAGCTGACGACATTCGGCAATGCAAAGTTATGGCCGGTATATATGTACTTCGGGAACGAATCCAAGTACCGCCGTTGTAAACCGTCTCACCATCTCGGTAATCACGTAGCCTACTTTCAAAAGGTATGATAATTTTTTAATTAACTTACTCTTCTGCATTGACATGCATGATGCAGCTCCCGGACGCATTCAAAGACTTCGCGGGTACTCACACTGAGGGCAAGGGTGTTGGCCGCGAGTGCACGACACATTGTCACCGCAAATTGTTCCAAGCCCAGTGGAGGATTTTGCTGGATCGCGAATTTTTAGAGGCTTATGAGCATGGAATCGTCATTCTCTGCTGCGACGGCATCAAACGTAGGTTTTACCCGCGCATATTTACCTATTCCGCAGATTATCCCAAAAAGTGAGTTATGAATGTTCGTCGATGAAAATACAACCTCACCTCACCTCACCTCACCTCTACCAGGGTCCTCGTTGCCACTATCCGGCAGCTCGGAGGATGTCCCTGCTCGCGATGTCTCATACCGAGAACAAGGCTTCATCATCTGGGTATGGCTCGTGATAGGCAACAACGCGCGACTCTTGCGCGTTCTGATACCTCAAGGAGTCCGTTGGTTGCCACCACACGCAGTCTCATCTATGAGAAGCATTATGGTGTCGATAGCACAGCAGTTGAGACCATCCTCAAACCTGATTCGTGGGTGCCAACCTCCGTGAGGATGCCCACCAGTCTCTTTCTCACCTTTGCTAACCCTTGATTAGAATGCATTTCTAGATACTCTCGCTCCTTTCAGATTCAACATCTTTGTTGCACTTGTTGTTGATATTTTGCACGAGGTTGAACTCGGAGTATGGCGCATGCTTCTAGTCCATCTACTAAGAATTCTTACTGCCTTGGATAAGGACCTGATCAATAAACTCGACGAGAGGTCTGCCAGATATTCATTTACAACGGCTTTGCAGGCTAAACTTACCTTTGACAGGTATAGGAAGGTCCCTTCATTTGGACCGGCCACGATTAGATGGTTCTCTTCGAATGTTTCCGAGATGTTGAACATGGCTGCGCGAAATTTCGAAGATCTTCTACAAGTATGTACTCGCAAGATTCTCATACATAGCCGCGAACTAATTTTGTCAGTGTTCTATCCCTGTCTTCGACGGTCTTTTACCCGTCCCTCACAACAAAGTTCTTATGAATCTCCTTTTCACCATGTCACACTGGCACGGGCTTGCGAAGCTCCGTATGCATTCTGACATCACTCTAAAGATTCTCGACCAACAAACGACTCATCTTGGCGAACAGTTTCGTCACTTCAAGGAAAAGGTATGCGCTTCATACCAGACCCAGGAGCTCAATCGCGAAGTCGGTGTGCGATCTCGTCGCCAGGCCAAGGATGCTGCTAAACGCAATGGAAATGACCTTGGACGAGCTAATGAAGATAATGGAAAAGGCAAAGGCAAAGGCAAAGTGATAGAGCAGCTTCAGTATTTACCCGCACCCAAGCAACCAAGGCGAAAGAAGTCTTTCAATATTCAGACTTACAAATTTCATGTACTTGGAGATTATGTGTCCTCCATCCGTCATTTTGGTACAACCGATTCGTACAGTACCGAACCAGTGAGTTGTATTCTGCTGCCTATGTATATGTTAACTCACCTTCTCAGGGGGAGTTAGAGCATCGTACCCCGAAAGGCAGGTACCATCGCACCAATCAAAGGACCTTTGTTCGTCAACTGACTCAAATTGAACGCCGCAAGACGCGCTTGCGCCGCATCAAACGACGACAACAGCCAGCCTCTCACGCAGGGGTACCTGAAATGGCCAACGATCCCCAACTCCAACATCATATAGGCCAAAGCGAGAAAATGTATGATGATTTTGGTCAATACCTTCGCGACCACAAAGGAGATCCTGCTATGAGGGTAAGCAGTTTCTGTAACGCGTTGATCTTTATCTTGAAGCATTGCTTAGGATTTCCTGCCTGGATTGAAAACCCATATTCTCGATCGCCTCGAGCCAGAAACTACCCAATCGCCTCTAGAGAGATCAGCTCTTACCGACCAGCACAATACCATCCTCTTCAAGCGGAATCGGATATATCACCACAACCTCGCGCGATTCAACTATACCACCTATGACGTTCGAAGAGCTCAAGACGTCGTAAACCCAAGGACTCAGCATTGCAACATTATGCTACTTGCAAATCGCAGTGATGATGGGCACTACCTCTATGCCAAAGTCATTGGGATCCACCACGTCAACATCGTGCGCGTCGCCAATGTGTACGAAAGTCACCGATTCGAATTTCTTCTTGTTCGATGGTATGAATCAGTGCAAATTCACATGTGGGACTCACATACTTTGGGCCGAGTTCGCTTCCGGCCGCTGGCACACCAGAACGTGTTCGGTTTTGTTGACCCAGGGATGGTTCTTAGGGCGTGTCATATCATCCCGGCCTTTTCTCAAGGCCAGCGCAATCCAGGTGAATCCGGGATTTCTCCTCTTGCGGGTGACAAGCACGATTGGCATGAATACTATGTTAATAGGTGAGCGACCTGAAATAACTTGATGCGGATGAGCATTAATAATAGGACTACACTAGCTTCGTTGATCGCGATACACTCATGCGCTTTCATTATGGCCTTGGGGTAGGTCATGTTTATTCTCATGAAGCAGGAGTCGTGGAGACGACAGTACAGACAGAACATGAACCTTCAGAAAGTGGAGGCCTCATGGAGCGCACACACTGCCAAATTCCCGGTGACGATGAACAGGACGAAGACGAAGACGACGATGAAGATTATGTGGGCGCGGAGGAGCATGGCTTTTTCGATCAGGCAGTCAATGCCAGCACTGAATCACTCATGCAGGCACTAGACGAGATGTTTCTGGCCGGTCACACATTCGATCATGAAAATCAATAAATATAATCAATTGTTCGCTACTGCATCGCCCTTATTCGCCCCCGCTTTTTCATCACATGTGCCGATTCCTGGCTGGGCTGGGCTACTCATGTTCGCTTCTGCCTGGCACTGCTGTGCCGCCTAGCAAGCCCCCTGGCTTCTTCCTGGCATATTTCCAATACATGGTTTGCCGTGACTGGCCATCACTGCTTTGGCCTACCCATGACTAAACCCCTGGCACGCATGTCGATGGCTGATATATTACAGCATCATTGCCTAGCGGTTGAATGTAATGTGGGCAGACAAGCGCATGTTTGAACAATTTTTAAGGTCTTTTTAGTGTTGTCTGATTCTTCATCACTCCAAACTTACCGGGATGATGCAACTGTCAACTGCGCTACCAACTGTCCATGTTAACAACACTCAAAACTATGTTTTTGTTCAAGCAAGGAACGAAGTTATGCGACTTGTTCCGCTTCGGGTGAGTGCATCAGTGGCTGACTTTATTCGCATCACTCATGATTTCTTACTGCAGATTGATGAGGTTCACTATCAGCCATCAGTCGTCACTCTAATTGACCCGTGTTTTCAGCCCTTTCAAGGCCTTTCAGGTCAATTCTCTTTCCTTGGCTATGTCACTCATGCTTATCATCTTTCGCCACTCTATGTGAGTCTGTCTGTAATTCTCCAAGTCAAATTTTTCATATAATTGTACTTGTTCACAGTGGCCTAAAGAATGTCGTGGTCTTGCTGACGAGCTCCTACGACAAGTGGGATTGTTGGGCATCATAGATGACATTAGTAGATACGCAATCTATGAGGTTATTGAGGTAAGAGATCTTTTATGCAGTCGAGTTCACTTCTCATTAGACGAACACATTAGCATGGTGGCACCTCAATTCTCGAGAATACTAGGACACCTTATTGTGGGGCCAGCACACAAATGAAACTTGTGCCCATGTGGATGGTGAGTTTCCCTTTGAATCCCCCCACATCGTCAGACTCAGTGCGCGTCATACATAGCTTCACGAGTTACACGACTTCCAGTTCTCCCCGGCAATGTTCCCATATGGATTCCCTCCTCCTGTCAAGCTTTCGGAGGAGTTATCTTGGCAGCACTTTGATCAAGTTACTCGGCAGTCGCTCCCTGGACCATCGTTCCATGACATGTCCCTCCACCTGCCCTTAGATTTTGATTATGATCCCTCCGTGTTTGACGTAACCACAGCGTCGACTTTTTCTGGCGTACTCACACCTGCTTTGGAGGAGGAGGGTGATGGCCTCTCGAATGCTGTGATCCTCCCTGCTAATCATCCTTTCGATGGGACACAACTTCCTCACAAAGACCTCCATTGGAGACAAAACTCACGAGAGGATCCACTGAGCAATGGCCAGAGGACAATGCTCAAAAGTTTGATGATAGACTCACCTTGGGCACGCCCATATAAGTTGGCAAGATACCTTTATGTAGGGTGTTTATTGGTCGGCATACCTGCCAACCCCTTTAATATGCCCGAGCCGGTGTCGAGGCAGTTGATTACAACCAGTTTTTTGAAAGCTCTGTTTTTCACCGGTCAAACATACGAATCGTTGTGTAATGAGAAATGTAAGTGTCCGCCTCCAATTCTCAACACCACTAACTAACATTGTGATTAGTGAGGGTCACGGACAAAGCTGGGAGGGAGACCCTCGTGGATTGGTCATATTTGCGCAATAGAGTACGTTCGTTTGTCGGTTTACCTTCAGTCACCATTAAACGTTTTCCACAGTTCCCGGACTTATACATAGAATTTACTTCTGAGCTACGTAAGGTCGCCAGAGGTAGCATGAATGTTACGGATGGATTCGTGACCCACGAAACCCACCGGAAACAGAAGATCCTCGACTTGATTAGTTTGTTCGACTCAGGGGACCTAAACCTGGTAAGAACCTGCAAATTCATATCAAATAGAAACTTGAGACTTTGTCTATCAGATACAACGAGCCCTCACGGAGCTTATTGTCACACAGGCCTTCCGGGAAGTGCTCTGGGCTTCGTTACTCCGACCTATCGCCGAATTAGCTGAAGGAAAGGTTAGATTGGCAGATCTATACCCTGACGCTGTACAATCTTGGACAGGTTATCTACAAAAAGGTGTTGTCGGTGTACTCAGCACCCTCGTGAGCTTTTACTTATTTGCTCGTCGGACGTCAATGACCAAATTTGTGCTTATGTATCAGATGTTTCAAGGGTTAACTCATCCCCCACAAAGCAACTCTCACTTGAAGGCTCCTGCGCTGTTTCCTATCATCATGACTGCCCTCGATAACATGTACAAACATCCAGGCGACTTCAGCGTCTTCTTCAAGGAAGCCCATGAGCTTCTTTTTCTCAAGTCAGTCTCCTTTAACATTGTAATCTTACTCATCCGTCTCATCCATTTAGGGAGGAAAACGTCTTAGTTTTGGAGCCTAAGCATGGAATTCCCAAAGTAATGTCAGACGGCCAGAGGAAGACCCTTGAAGACGTCAGGCCCATAGAAGTCAAGTCTGTCATAGATTTCGAAGTCCCCAACGCAGAATTAGCCTTTCCGGTTACTGGCATGGCGCAGATACACATTTCCTACTTCACACCGTCGACTATCTCACTTTGATCAACTTGAATATTGTACTCGTCATGATCTGAACGGTGTGCCTTCTGAATATTTTTGTACACGTGTATCTCAGAAATGAATTACCCTTTTACTCATTAGTAAAACGATCTCTGGTGTCGTATGAAAGCTCGACCGCCTCAAGTTCACATTCGCAAATTAGCGCCCACAAAGTTGTTTGTCATTGTTTTTGGTGTGCGACATACTCGCTGATTAGATCGATCAAAAATTGTTGTCAAATGCCCAATAAGGCATATTCACGGTAAGCCCATCAAGCCAAATCTCCTCCGATCGAATCAATCAACGCCTTCGTTAGAACATGTCCCGCGTTGTATACAGCCCAGAGAACGCAAGAAATGACGGAATCGTAAGCATCTCTTGTGTAATTTTGACGGCAAAGTCTCACATTTAACAGTCACAATTGGAGTTTTTGGCAGACTTGGTATGCATTTGTGTACCACGTCACTGCGTACCTGACTCTGATACCCGAGACCGCCACTCCGCGAACCCCGCTGTGGGATCATATGAGGCAATTGATGCGCCGTTTCACCGGCGGCTGCGCTCACGTACTGCAGCACATAAGATCGGCCGTGCAGAGGGTGAGTTCTTTGATTTACTTTGTAACTATCTATAGTCTCAAGTTCCTCTAAGATGTTTTAGAGTTCCAGAGATGAAGTACAGGCTCGGACTGCAACTATGACCATCACTCCATGATCTACTATACCCATCTCACCGCTGCAGGAATGTATCATGATCTCCCATTTCACCAATCACGAATACTGTATACTATAATAGCGCATAGCATACAGTGCAGGTACTACATAGCCTGATATTGACCTCCTGTTGTATCGTCTTACTCAAATCTTCCTAAAATCTTGCTGGTCATATTGAACTGAAACGTCCTACTAGTAGTACTTACATTTTTGCACGTTGATTCTGAATCACAAAAGATCTGAAGCGATAACCCATGTGTATTGATGTTTTGAAATATATTTCAAGCTTGAACCGATTGAAATATTGACACTTCCAAAAAAGGTAACGATATCCGCACTTCGACCATTTTAAAAGTAACCTTCAAAGTAAAACCGTTCGTCCAGATATAATGAGGCCTCGCAAGGCCCGCTGAAGCATCTCTCGGAGGCGTGACGTTGCTGAAAAGCGAACATCCCATGAAAGTCCCTGGAATGCCCACTGCGATCAAGAACTTTATTTTACGGTACGTCAAGAGCAAAGCTGATTAGTGGTGCTTAGGTCGATTGACTCATCTGTACTTGAAAGCAGAGCGGGAGAGGCAGCATGGGGTACTTGAAGGATGGACCGTACATCAGTGCGAAAGAGGCCGTTGCAATTTACACAGCAACTGTTCACGGGCTTGAGAGCCGCAAATTTGGTTCTATACCATTCCCGTAAGCAAGCGAGGCATGGTTTGCACATTTTGAACTTACCGTTTTCTCTAGCCCTCTGTTGTTCGGCGCCTGAGCCTTATAATCGGCGCTCTGGCCGCATGCGTCGTGCGCAGGACATACCTCTGGTGAAGAACTGGTATCTGGAGCATTGTCCTCCTAACCAGCCAGTCAAAGTTCGCGTATCGTACCAGAAATTGCTCAAGTGTTTCGTCCTCAACGAACTCAAGAGTTGACCTGAGAAGGCAATGACTAAAAAGAATCTCTTTTGGCAGTTAAAGGCGACGAAGTTCTTTCAGATGACAAAACTTGACTGGGTGGAAGCCGGTTTGCAGGTGTGCAGACAAGGGTATAACATGCTTAATCTCCTTATCCACAGAAAGGTAAGCCTTCTTAGAGACCGCCGGGGTACATTGAAGCTAATTTTTATTTTCAGAACTTGAACTACTTGCATCTCGACTATAACATGAACTTGAAGCCAGTGAAGACGCTTACTACGAAGGAGCGCAAAAAGTCTCGCTTCGGAAACACCTTCCACTTATGTCGCGAGATTCTGCGCCTTACAAAGCTTGTTGTTGATGCTCATGTTCAGTTCCGCCTTGGCAATGTCGATGCTTTCCAGCTTGCAGACGCACTGCAGTATATCTTTGCGCACATTGGGGCATTGACTGGTATGTACCGGTACAAGTACAAGGTTTGCATAATCTCGGTTATAGGCGAAATTTATTTTGTTAATTTTATTCATCCAGCTCATGAGACAAGTTCGCATGACAAAAGATCTCAAGCACTTGATCTACTACCGCTTTAATACTGGCCCTGTTGGCAAGGGTCCTGGAAATGGCTTCTGGGCTCCTGGCTGGCGTGTCTGGCTCTTCTTCATGCGAGGCATTGTACCGTTACTCGAGCGCTGGCTTGGTAACCTCCTCGCGCGTCAGTTCGAGGGACGCAACAGCAAGGGCATTGCGAAGACTGTGACAAAGCAACGTGTCGAGTCTCACTATGACCTCGAGTTACGTGCGGCTGTCATGCATGACATTCTCGACATGATGCCTGAGTCTATTAAACAAAACAAGTCGAAGACGATTTTGCAGCATCTCTCGGAGGCGTGGCATTGCCGGAAAGCGAACATTCCATGGAAAGTCCCTGGAATGCCCACTGCAATTGAGAACATCATTCTGCAGTACATCAAGAGCAAAGCTGATTGGTGGTGCTTGGTTGCACATTATAATCGGGAGCGTATCCGTCGAGGTGCTACAGTTGATAAGGCAGTAGTGAAGAAAAATCTGGGTCGGCTGACACGCCTGTACTTGAAAGCAGAGCAGGAAAGGCAGCATGGGTACTTGAAGGATGGGCCGTACATCAGTGCGGAGGAGGCCGTTGCAATTTACACAGCGACTGTTCACTGGCTTGAGAGCCGTAAATTTGCTCCTATACCATTCCCGTAAGCAAGTGAGGCATGGTTTGCACATTTTAAACTTACTGTTTGCTCTAGCCCTCTGTCATACAAGCACGATACGAAATTGCTTGTACTTGCACTTGAAAAACTGAAGGAGGCTTACTCAGTCAAGGGTCGTCTTAATCAGTCGCAGCGTGAGGAGCTTGCCCTCATTGAACAGGCATATGACAATCCGCACAAATGTCTGTCGCGCATCAAGCGATTGCTTCTTACCCAGCGTGCGTTCAAGGAGGCTGGTATTGAGTCCTTTGACACGTACGACAAACTCATTCCGTGCTACAACATTGAGCCCGTTGAGAAGATCACCGACGCCGTAGGTTTCAGCATTTACTCCGTTATATGCCATGCTGACGTTGATACTTTACAGTATCTCGATCAATTCCTCTTCTTCGAGGCAGATAAAAGAGGGTTGTTCCCTGCCTGGATCAAACCTGCCGACACGGAGCCACCGCCGTTGCTTGTGTACAAGTGGTGCCAAGGCATCAACAACTTGACAGATATCTGGGAGACGAGCGAGGGTGAGTGCAACGTGATGATGGAGACCGTCTTCTCCAAGGTGTATGAGAAGATCGACCTGACCCTGCTGAACCGTCTCCTCCGTCTCATTCTTGATCACAACTTGGCAGACTACATCACCGCGAAGAACAACACCGTGCTGACCTACAAGGACATGGCACATACGAATGCATTCGGTCTCATCCGTGGTCTTCAGTTCTCTGCCTTCGTCTTCCAGTACTACGATCTCGTCCTTGATCTCCTCATTCTTGGCTTGCAGCGAGCTAGCGAGATGGCGGGTCCTCCACAGATGCCTAACAACCTTTTGCAGTATCGCAACTCGGCAACCGAGACTCGTCACCCCATCCGCTTATACTCCCGTTATGTTGATCGCTTACACATTCTCTTCCACTTCAGCGTGGATGAGGCAAGGGACTTGATCCAACGCTATCTTAGCGCCAACCCTGACCCGACCAACAACAACGTCATCGGGTATAACAACAAACACTGCTGGCCTCGAGATTGTTGTATGCGTCTCATCAAACATGACATTAACCTTGGAAGAGCAGTTTTCTGGAACGTTAAGAACAGCCTGCCGCGCTCACTCACCACCATCGAGTGGGAGGCCACCTTTGTCAGCGTTTACTCGAAGGACAACCCACAGTTGTTGTTCTCGATGTGCGGGTTCGAGGTCCGTATCTTGCCCAAGATTAGGACGATGGGTGGCGAGCAGTTCTCGTCGAAGGACGCTGTGTGGAATCTCACCAACGAGCAGACCAAAGAGAGAACTGCGCAGGCATTCCTCCGTGTCTCCGATGACAGTGTCCAGCAATTCAATAACCGTATTTGTTAGGTCCTTATGAGCTCCGGTTCCACCACTTTCTCGAAGATCGTCAACAAGTGGAACACTGCGTTGTGTTACAACATGCTACATGAGTCCCCTCTGCCACCTCTGCCCTCTGCCACCTTGCATGGCAACGACACGATACGAGCCCCTTCAGTGACAAATTCCATATTATACGGGCCACCCGACCTACATAATATCCCGTATGAGACGGGCCAGCGGATTATGGGCCCATGTTGTGTATATTCTCGATGATGACGGATGGGCCGGGACACATTATTTCCGATGGAGATGGGTGGGCCCATGTATGCCAATGATATATATATCCTTGATGTTGACGGATGGGCCGGGGGAATATGATCATTCATGGAGATGGGTGGGCCCATCAGGGTAATATGTAGAGTAGGATATTATAGACAGCTGGGCTGAAGAGAGATGTAAGGCAAATATTGTTATATAGACGGGTGGGCCGACGGGGGTGTATTACATATATGGGTGGGCCAAGGTAGGGGAATATTACATAGATGGGTGGGCTGATGCGGGGTGTATTACATATACAGGTGGGCCGACATAAAAAGTATTACATATACGGGTGGGCCGACGAAAGGGATATCAAATAGACGGGTGGGCCGAGGGTGTGATAAAATATTTATTACATAGACAGGTGGGCCGAGGTGGGGTATAATTATATAGACGGGTGGGCCGACGTAGTATGTATTATATAGACGGGTGGGCCAACATAGGATGTATTACATAGACGGGTGGGCCGACGTGGGGGATAATACATAGATGGGTGGGCTGATGTGGGGGAATTGTACATAGATGGGTACATATATGGGTGAGCCTGGATACGTATAAATGTCAACTTTTCAGTGCAAAACCCCAAACCGAGATTTACCAACCCCCGAAACCCGAAATTGTGGACTGCCGGGTGTCGGGTTTCGGGGTTCGGGGGTCCCGGAACTCGGAACTCGGTATGTGAGACAAAAATATATTTCATACACGGGTAAGTCAATGTGTCCGTCAATAAACTCGATTGTAAAGTATATTTTATTGATCTCCCCAAATTTCCCAAGTTCCGAGTTCCGAGTTCCGGGACCCCCAAACCCCGAAACCCGGCAGTCCACAATTTCGGGGTTCGGGAGTTGGGTCCCGGCACTCGGAACTCGGTATGTGAGACAAGCAAAATATATTTCAAACACGGGTAAGTCAATGTGTCCATCAATCACCCGAACCCCGAAATTGTGGACTGCCGGGTTTCGGGGTTCGGGGGTCCCGGAACTCGGAACTCGGAACTTGGGAAATTTGGGGAGATCAATAAAATATAATTTACAATCGAGTTGATTGACGGACACATTGACTTACCCGTGTTTGAAATATATTTTGCTTGTCTCACATACCGAGTTCCTAGTTCCGGGACCCAACTCCCGAACCCCGAAATTGTGGACTTCCGGGTTTCGGGGTTCGGGGGTCCCGGAACTCGGAACTCGGTATGAGACAACAAAAATATATTTCGGGGGTTGGAGGTTAGTAAAATGTTTATAGATATACGGAGGTTGATAGAAACATGTTTGAAAAATGTCGTTCGTCTCAAATGTCAAATCCTGAGTTCCGGGCTTTGGGACTCGGCACCCGGCACCCGGCACTCGGGGTTCGGCACTGAAAATTTGACATTCGGGTGTTAGGGTGTAGGGTGATATCTACCTCAATCTACAGTTTCGAGTTCTGGATATCGGGACTGATTATTGAATCATTCAATTGTGGCATAGGTAACATGCATTGAAAAAGATTTATGTACATCAATCACTGAGCAATTATGTAGCCATTGCAACCTCCTCACCAGGAAGATCAACATTCCCCTCAACATCCATATCCTCATCAGAGGAATCATATTCTGGCAGGAGGTTACCTTGTTCATTAGGGACCACAATATCGCCGGAGGATTCTGGCAAGAGGTTGCCTGGTTCATCCGGGAGCACAATTTCGCCGGAGGATTGTGGACCCTCAGGCTGAACTTGGGTGGGCTCAACATTGAGACCTACCATAGCAGATCCATCCTCAACCATCAAGGGTGTGGGTTCCATGACTGACATGTCCAAATCAATGAGGTTGGAAAGTGTGGAGGGGAGGGGTGAAATGGACGGGGGGGGACCAGATTGATCAAGCAAGATTGTTGCATCGGCCGGTGTGTCCGGAAGTGAAAATGAAGGGTGCGGGTCGACCATCGTGCGCCGGAGGCTCTCATGGAGGCATTGGAGGGTATCAATCTTAGCATCCTGCTCCTGCACCCGAGCCTCAAGAATAGCGATGCGAGCTGCACCATCCCGAATCGCGATTGCCATGGAATGGAGATCAGGCATGGGAACATCTAGTGCTGCACGAGGCACTGCGGAACTCGAAGACCGAACAGCTAAGTAAAAAATAAGGTCAGCCGGTCATCAAAAGTGTGGGTGACTTACGAGCTGGCACAGGTGCAGGTGCAGGTGCAGGGGCAGGTGCAGGTGCAGGTGCAGGTGCAGGTGTCTTCTTGGTAGTGATGGTCTTGCTGCGACCACGTGACTGCACCTGGGGTGTACTTGCAGCAGGGATGGCCGGAGTTCGGGACGGGCCACGAGATTGACTACGAGTCCGGGCCCTTGACCTGGAGGGAGACGGAGCAGTGGATGGAGCAGGGGCAGGTGTCTTGGAACGCGTCCGTCCCGTGGTAGACTTCCCTCGGGTCCGTTTGGGCGGGGATCCCAGAGATGCCGGGTTGCATTTGATCTTCTTGGTGGAGCAGCGGATGCAAGACAGGCAGGGGAGGCTGGACCTCTTGTCCAAACGAGTCGCACAGGGCCAATTCTCCTTGACGCAATAATGGCAGGGGTTGTTCTGTGGTATCCGTTAGTAGATGTACTAGGGGAATTAATTGAGCACTCACTGGGCCGGGAATGGTGATATCAAATGTGGTAGTGGCCGGAGGGTCACCGTCCGAAGCGCTGGAAGTATCACCAGTGGACTCCTCAACTTCCGGACGACTGCCGGAGGTTGCCTGATAAATTGTAAGTACACATGTGAGTTCCGGGCGAGCTTGTAAGACTTACCCGAGCCTCCGGACGACTGATGGGAGATTCCTAATGCGATGGGCATGAGTAAGAATAATACATGCGAGTTCCGGACCTGTCCGGAAAACTCACCATGACCTCCGGACGTTTGCCGGCAGTCAGCTGTGGACACATGAGCATATATATGAGTTCCGGACGACTAAATCAGACTTACCGAAGCAGGCCCAAATGATTGCTTCTTGGGGGAACCAGGTGAACGAGGCGACTGGGGTTTCCTTACAACAATGGTGGAGAGCTGGGAAAGGACGACCTCTGGCACTCCACGCGAAATCGGCTACAACAAATTGAGAGCATGTCACAAATGAGCCAGAACACATACCTGAACAATTGGGTCTTCATCATCTTCCGACTCCACAAACGGCTTTGACTTGGGGAGTCCAGTTGACTTGACACGCTTGTGACCCTTCATCGCCGACTTCGGAGGTTGGGAGGAGTGTCCAGAAATCATGGGGGACTTCCTCTTGTTGCTCCCTCCGACTTCCGGCTCCAAGTCAACAGAAATGGCCTTACCTTTCCCTTTGTCCCGGAACTCGGAGGTCGTCTTGCCGGAAGGTCCGGCGACATTGCCGGCGACGACGGGAGGGGAGTGAATGACAGTGGCGGGGGAAGGGACAGGTGCGGGGGAAGGGACAGGTGGAGACGGAAGATTGACAGTCAGTGGGCCAGTGGAAGGATTAGAAACAACAGGGAGATCACAGGAATTGTCACCCAACGCCTCCCAGGCACGGACCTGCTTGCGCCAGGCGTGTCTAGCCACCCAGGGATCATCATGGCCAATGCTGTGCCAGTTGGGCAACACCTGGGGAGTCATGGAACGCACCCTCATCAGCTCCTTAGAACAGGAAGCCACAATGCCAGGGATGTAATCCCCTTTCTCATGCACCCGGATGATGTCAGCCTACCTGGATATTAGAAACATCAATGGTAAACTAATTTAATAAGTGCAACTTACCAACAGATTGGTGACCTGCCTTGCCAGAGCAATGTGGATGTGCACTGAGCTGGCCGGGACGTGCTGGGCGCCGGCAATGACGCCCACAAGTTGAGCAGTGGATGCCTTGAGGTCGGCCAATGAAGATTGAACTGGAGTAGACATTTGGATTGAGTTGACAGATGTGAGAATGTTGAAAGCAGGGTGAAATCTGTTATCACTAGAATGAAGTTTCAAAGAAACAATACAATTGAAGGACAATGTTGAAAATCGTTGATTGTTTGTCTTTGTTTGGTCATGGTTCAACTTTCGGCAATCGCCGGCCATGTGTTGAACTTCAACGTTATCTGTTATCAATCAGTTCATCAGTTCATCAGCTCATCAGATATCATGAGCTCTCAACCTGGGGTCAGATTTCATGACCCTCCGGTCACTGAATACACCTCAATGGATGTGGATGAGACCTCCCAGTCCCGGATGTCCCTTGGTATGTTTTGTTTCTGCTGATTTCAGTGAATTGATCTTACATGGTTTAGATCCATTAGATGATATATACCTTGGGCCGGATGATGAGTTAGACTCTGATTCTGGGTCATCCGGTGGTCTGGATTCGTTAAATGCGATTCCCGGTATGTTTCTCAATTCAAATGTACATATTCTACATGTGGAAATCCATCACATACTTCCAGATCCATCATATCCGGCCCTGGCAGATGGACTGGCCCTGTACGATGACCCGGACTTATATCTTGGTCCGGAGGATACCTTTATTTCGTCTGATGATGCTCCGGCTGTACCCGATTTTCCTATGGCTGGTGAGGTTATTCTTTTCATCTCATGTTCATTTTTCATGGCATTTCCCCAGTGAATGAATCGACTCCCGAACCTCATCCGGCCACTCCGGCTGTACCAGAGGCACCCATACCTTGTATGTGTATTCATATCATGTCATGTGTTCTATTCATGTTATCTCC